TATATATATATATTATGCACGCTCGTCCATCCTAAATATGGAATCGTATCATCCCAGCCATACTGGGTTCCCCCCTCTATGCGGTGACCTTTTTGTTCTAACATAACACTTTTTCGCTAATCCCTTGCAACAGGTGGGACGAAGTGCACTCGCGCGCGTTGTCGCGCGCGCATGCCGAAATCCTTCACAAACCTTCGGTGCCGGAAGGGTTTCGCAAGCGAGTTTCCAAAACACATACAAAAGCACAGGGTTTCGCAACACTGATTTGCTAAAAAAACTTCCGCGCGAGCTCTTGCGAAATCTTAAGGAAACCAGTGTTTTTTTCCAGATTTTCACAAAATTCTACCAAACGGGCTTCGAGCGCGCGCATGTCGAAATCTTTCGAACGCCCTTGCGCGTGTGCCGTCGCGAGAATCCTTTGCAAAAAACTTGGACGAAGTGCAGACGCGCGCGTCGTCGCGGGCGTATGCCGAAAACCTTCAAAACCCATCGGTTTCGGAAGGATTTCAAAATCGTGCGTCCAAAAAACCTACAAACAACCCAAGGTTTCGCAACGCAGATTTTCAACAACTGCGTGCGCGCGCGCTCTTGCGTCGTCGTCGTCGTCGTCGCCGTCCTCCCTCCTCCCGCGTCGTCGTCGTCGTCGCCTACGTCGTCCTCTGTTTTTTCTCGTGTTCGTCGTCGTCGTCCTCTTTGGCGTCGTGGTCGTTTCCGTCGTCGTTGTCGCCGTGGTCGTCCTTCCTCCTCCTCCCACGTCGTCGTCGTCGTCCGTCGTCGGCGTCTCGTCGTCGTCCCTCCTATTTCGTCGCCGTCGTCGTCGTCGTTGTCGTCGTCGTCTTCCCTCCTCCCTCGTCGTTGTCGTCGTCGGCGTCGCCGTCCTTCCTCCTTCGTCGTCGTTCGCGTCGTCGCCGTCCTCCCTCCTCCCTCGTCGTTGTCGTCGTTGTCGTCGTTGTCGCCGTCGTCGTCCTTCCTCCTCCCTCGTCGTCGCCTTCGTTGGCGTCGTCGTCGTCGTCGTCGTCGGCGTCGGCGTCGTTGTCGTCGTCGAAGTCGTCGGAGACGTCGTCGGTGTCGTCCTAGTCGTTGTCGTCGGTGTCGTCGTAGTCGGTCTGAACAGGTTTTGCAAACCAAGTTGCGGGTGGGTGGGTGGGATGTTTGCGCGAGCAGTGGAGATGACGACTTCAAGGTCAGCAGAGTGGATTGCACCACGTAGATTGCACCGCATCGGTTACATTACATTGGTTGCAGCCCAAACATTGCACCACATCTATTGCACCGCATAGGCTGCATTTTTCATAAGTTGCATCGCATACATTGCACCACATACCTATATATATATATACATATGTATATTGCTTCGCATATATTGCATAACATAGTTTGCATCGCATGTGTTGTGCACCACATCTATTGCACTGCACATGTTGCGTTACATAGGTCGCATCGCATATAGCGTACCACGTAGATTGCACCGCGTATATTGATTGCATCACGTAAGTAACATCGCATACATTGCACCACATAGATTGCTCCTCATATATTGCAAGAGTCTGCTATTTGGGGTCCACGCTGGCTAACAGGTTTCTTCCCTTCCCCGGATGTCGGCTAGGAGCGAGCGAGGGCTCGAGAGTTTTGAGCAGCAGCTGGCACAGCTTGCAGCGACAGCGAGACGGAGGAAAACAGTTTGAAGCGAGTTCTTCGAGGACCAATGTTGTTCTCATTTTTCGGAGCCCTCCAGGACGGAACAGGCCCGGATGGACACCAGGAGGGGTTTGGGGGTGGATTTTGGGAATCAGATGAGGAAGACAGATTTGTACCGTTAGGTCTGGCGTGTCCCCCTACTTTCAGATTTTGGACGACAAATCAGAAATAGTCAGAACAGATTCCAAACATATTCCAATAAATCAGTGCTCAGAAAATAATATTCGTTTAATGTTTCCAACTATTTTTGAATATCCCCACTGCAGAGGGACATGTCCGACTTGATTATATCGTTGCCTTTCTTTCTCTTTACCTAGCTGGGTCTCCCGTGAGATCTTGCTCGCCGCGGCGGCACTCCCCTCGAAGATCTCGTCGGGTCGCGCCTGGAGAGAGATGCCCAACGGTGCAGCGGTCTTTGCCGTGCTCTCCAGAGGGGGAGGTGCGGAGGGAGCGTCAGATGGGGAGAGGGAGAGGGAGGGGGAGGATGGGAGAGGGAAGGAATGGTGATGATGATGCTGATGATGATGCTGATGCTGATGCTGATACTGATGCTGATGCTGATGCTGATGCTGAAGCTGATGCTGTTGATGATGATGCTGATTATGGTGATGTTGATGTTGATGTTGCTCTTGATGATGATGACGATGATGATGATGATGATGCGAATGCTGATGATAATGATGGTGATTCTGATGTTGGAATTGATGTTGTTGGTGATGATGATGCTGATGATGCTGATGATGATGATGGCGATGATGTTGTTGATGATGCTGCTGATGATGATGATGATGATGATGATGAAGATGATGATGATGATGATGATGATGATGATGACGATGACGATGATGATGATGATGATGTTGCTGATGACGATGATGATGCTGATGATGATGATGCTGATGAGGATGATTATGAGCATGATGATGATGCTGCTGATGATGATGTTGATTATGATGAGGATGATGCTGATGATGATGATGATGATGATGATGATGATGATGATGATGATGATGATGATGATGATGATGATGATGATGATGATGATGATGATGATTGATGATGATGATGATGATGATGATGATGATGATGATGATGATGATGATGATGATGATGATGCTGATGATGATGATGATGATGATGATGATGATGATGATGATGAGATGATGATGATGATGATGCTGATGATGATGATTGATGATGATGATGATGATGATCAGGAGGAGGAGGAGGAGGAGGAGAGGAGGAGGAAGATGATGAGAGGAGGAGGAGGAGGTGAAGGATGAAGAAGAAGTGGAGAAGGTGGAGGAGGAGTAGGTGGAGGAGGAGGAGGAGGAGGAGGAGGAGGAGGAGGAGGAGGAGGACGAGATACGAGCGGGTCAATGGGCCGTAGCCGCTGCCCGCCCAGCCAGGCGCTACGCTGTGTGGAGGAGGGGAGGGCATCCCGCCAGGCGCGCACGCAGTGAAGCTTGCACGGGCAGCGCACCGTCGCCCGAGCGGGGGTCGGGATTGGCAAGAAGGTCCCACAAGCTTCGAAAGTCCTGGGTGTGCTGGGGACTGGTGCCCCCCCTGAACGACCGAAACCTTCCCGAAGCCCTACGAGAACCCTCCCCGACGGATTCTGGAAGGCTTTTCGGAGGGCCCCGGGAGAGTTTCAAGAGCGTTTTGGGACGCTGGGCTTTCCAACCATGAGTTATAAGCCCTACCCTCAAGGGCTCATTTCGATTCGATCGATCCGATGCGATGCCGATTCTTCCCAGCCCGGCCCGATCAGAGTCCAGCAACTGGGGCGATCCGCTGCGGCTCGCTGCTCGCATGACGCCGTGGAGAGTCCTGGCGGGGCCGACCCACGGTGGGACGACGAAATGTTGCAAGTTTTTCATGGCCGCGCACGGCTGCACCTGCACTGCGACGCCGCCTCGACGAAACGCCCCCGCCCCCTACATTTCAATGTTGGCATCGAGCGAGCACCCCAAGTCCGGGAGGACAAAATAATGCAAGTCAACATTGCAATGCGGGGGGGGGAGTTCCTCGGATATCGATGGCACATGATCAAAGCTGGCGCGCTGTTTCTCGGAAGGATCAGATAACCTGCGATATGTTGTCCGCCCACTGCAGTTCGATCCTCTTCCCTGTGCTGACGTGGCCCGATCCGTCGCAAGGTCCGACCCGGTCCGACTTCCTGATTCGGATGCTCACCGAACTTGCCCTTTTCCGCCCGAGCCTCGTCTCTGCGTCGGGGTGGTGCCGTCGTCGGGTGCCGCTCGCACCCCGGGATGTGTCCCAGGGGGCCCAAGAGCCAGCTCATCCGCGGGGGCGCGAAGATAGTCGAACACTGCGGGGCGTGACGCGCGAAGGTAGTTGAGAAACCCAGCAGGGGATCGATTACAGAATCAATTCACCCCACGATTGAGCTGTTCGTCGACTCCATGAGACACGTGCCGAATTCCCGGAGATCTGCGAGCCTTCTACGCAGGACCCTACGAGAAGATCAAGTATGTGGGGCACATTATTCCTGTAGTCGATCCCCTACTCGAAGGAAGAGGACCCCCCCACCTCCCGACCGAACCTTGCGTTAAGTCGGGCACGTCCATCTACAGGAGGAATGTCCCAAAATCGTCAAACAATAGCCTGGGGACGACTTCTTTGACCAGTTGTTTCACATTTTTTGGGTACTGTTCGGCTTTTTGTGAGCATGGTTTCCTCCAAGCTCCGCCTGTATTGCATGTTTTTTGTTGGGACATGCTCGACCTAAGCTTAAGTCGGGCGTGTCCCCCTACAGGGGGATCTGGGGCGGAAACAGAAAAATAGTCAGAAAATCTTCCCAAACTGCCCAAACAGAGTCAAACAGTCGCCCCTGGACTATTTTCAGACTCGTCGGAAATCGCCGAAGCATCGAAGATAACAAGTACCCCAAACTGGTCGAAGAATCGTCCCCAGACAATTTTTGGACTGTGTTCGCTTACAGTCGGGGCGCTGAAGAAGGAACCCTTTTCGTTGGGGAGGGGCTCCGTGTTCCTTGATTGTTTCACAGCTTGCCCTAGGTTTTCCTCAGGTTTTCGATGGGAAATCGAGCCTTCACTGATGGGAAAAAGGGGCCTCGTTTCTTATTTATGGTTCCTTAGGTCAACGTCCCGACTGCATTCCTCCTGCAGAGGGGCACGCCCAACCCGAGAACCCTGCGCGCCCCGCCGCCTACGGCGCCCGGCCCCCGGCCGAGCCCGGCGGCCCCCGGCCAAGCCGGGCGGGGGCTCCCCCGCCCGCGGCCCCTCGCGGCCCCCCGCGGCCGCGCGGCGGCCTGCCAGGCCGACCTCGTGCGCCTGTGGAAGGCCGGCGGCGGCGGTCGGCGTCGTCGTCGTCGTCGGCGGCTTCGTCGTCGTCGGCTTTGTCGTCGTCGTCGTCGTCGACGGCATTTTTGTGGGCATTTTGCTTGGCTTTCGGAGGTCTCTGGAGGTACGATGGGAGCAACATAAGACCGGTGCCAAGTCTTGCCCATTTTGAAATTGGGTCGCCGTCGGTGTCGCCGCGGACGTTATTCATTTGATATGGGCGTCGCCTGCCCAAGAGCGGCGGCTGTTGGTTTTGGGCAACACCTGCTGTTGGGTGTGCCCTAATTCTGTCCGTCTGGTTTCAGGCGTGCCAAGGGGGAGGTTGAAGGGATGCGCTCATGCGTCAAGAAAGCTGGCCCGTGCGATCTGGCCCGAAGTCGTTAAGCAGCGCAGTCACAGCGGAAGCCGAAGCCAAAGTTAAAGTGCATACAAATTCGTGACGTTTCGCGTAACCCCACCAGCCGTTTTGGGTATACCACGGTCCCGTCCCTCGGGTGCTACCCTACACGCGTATGTGTGGCGCTGAGTCACTTTGGTGGTGCACTTTCAGCCATCACGTGTTCCTACCGTGTGGCTTTGTGCACGTTGCTGTGCTCTTACCAGTCGCTGGTCCAAGGGCTCATGCGCATCTCAGTTGTGGAAGGTTCTTTCTCTGGCTAATATGTTTCCACACCCTGGATGCGTGTTCTGGCGTCGCGATGGTCCGCCTCCGCCGTCAGGGTTTCCCCGCTGGACTGTGTCACCAGTCAGTCTGTGCTACCCGTCAGACTCCCTGGATTGACGTCTCGCTCGGGACCGTTTCCTACCCATTCGTATTCGAACTGTTGGGAACGCTTACGCGCCATTTTGGCTGCGCTCTGCTTCCTCGGTGCCTGTGTTCAGACTCCCTGGATGCGCCGTTGCATGTTCCTTTCACGGGCTGCCCTGCAGACTCCCTGGATTTGCACGCCTTGGCTCAGACGCCCTGGGTCGCTGCTGCCTTCCGCCTGACCGCGGCCCCGCGCGCGCCCGCTCCCTAGTCGCGGCCGCAGCCCGACTGTGACCGCCTGCCGCTGGCGTTTCCGCCTGCGGCTGTAAAAAAAATAACCCCACCAGCTTGATTTCGCCGCCTGACCGTCGTCTCGCGGCCGCGACCAAAAAAATAACCCCACCAGCCGCTTCCGGCCCGCCGCTGAGGTGCTGCGTGAGGCTTCGGCCCACCGCTTTAGGTTAATTCGTCTTTGCGCGCCCCGCTCTGACTGGACTCGCCGCTGGCGCGCTCGCCTGCGACCGCTGACTAAAAGTAACCCCATCAGCCCGCTCGTGGACTGCTGCTGGGGCCGTGGTCCACCTGTCCCCCGCCAGCTTCCGGCCCGCTGTTGTTGTTTTCGCCCTTGGCGCGTCCCTCCCCCGCGCCCCCGGGTGCCCTCCCGTGCCAGGGTGCCCCCCCCGCGGCTGGGCTCCCAGTTCCCCCGCCGGAGTCGGTGGAGCCATCTCTCACCAGCCCCGGCCTCTCCATTCCGCGCAAATCGCGGTTACGTCTCCCCCGACGGTGGGGGCCACGGGCGCCTGTGGTTCAGCCTAGGCACCTCTCCGTGGCTCCACCACGCTGCGTCCGCGACTTGTCGGCTCTGCGGTGCGCGTTGTTGGCCGCGCCGCGCCGCCCAAGCTTGGTACTCTGGTGGGTCGACCCGCTCTGGCCACTGACGGTGTGGACTTGACCGGGGTCGCTCCCTTGTGCCTGCCTGTGCTCTGTTCGCGTCTGTCGCCATCCCTGAATCGTCGACCGCGGACTGTGCCCCTCTTCTACGGGGCTCGGGTGCGCGACTTTGCTGGCGCCACCACTTGCCCTGCCAGACCTTGTCAGGCATCTTGGGCCTACAGTGGGGGCGCGTGCCAAGAAACCAGTTGGATTTTGCCAGAGTGCCCTGGGTTTCTTGGATGATGATGGGCTCCCAATCAGATTTTGACGATTTTCGATCGACACCTGTGGATTTTCATTGAACAGATCGCGTATTTCAGGGTTGTTTTTTTGCAGAGGTTTCTTGTGGCCGAGTCCCCACTGTACTCTGACGTGCCCACCCTGGTCACATCGAGGTGTCTCTACGCGCCATGTTGGCTGCGCTTCAGCTTCGGCTGCCCAATTCGTTCGCAGTCAATTCGTTTCGTGGCGGTCGGTCCACCTGGCTCTGGCCACCCTGGTGCTCTTGCAGTCCCGTGGGTGCTCACGCCTCTGCATCCAATTCACCAGCAGCTTGCAGACCCTGGCAATCGGCCACCCTGGCTGTCTGCCCCCTTTGCAGCTCGTTACGTGCGCGCAACCCCTGGCAGTGAGCAGCCTCGCCTCCCTCTTCGTCTTCCTGGTCTGAGTGGCTGTGTTGGGCTTGCTTCTGGGTAATTCGGCCCTCGCGCGCCCCGCTCGGACCCTGACTCGCCGCTGGCGCTCTCGCCTGCGGCTGCCGGAAAAAAAAGGTAACCCCACCAGCCCATCCAGAGACGATGTCCCGAGCAGTTGCCTCGATCGTGGAAGTGGGCAGCACACAGAAAATGATCCCTTTTGGAGCGTCGAAGGTACCTTCGGGAGCCTCCTGGGGCCCCTTGGGGGTCTCTTGGGAACCTCTTGGAGGCCTCCTGGGCGCCTCTTGGGGCCTTCTGGGCGCCTCTTGGGGCCCTCCTTGGGCGCTCTTGAGAGCCTTGGGGGCGCTCCTGGGGTCATCTTGGAGGAGATCAATCGAACACGATGGGAGCTCTAAATCCCCCCCCCCCCCCCCCTCGGGAACACCAGAAATCGCCTCTTGGGCCCCTCGTGTGGCGCTTTTGGAGCGCTGTTGGCCGCTCTTAAAGCCGTATTACGCGCTCTCTTGGGCCTCTCTTGGAGCTCTCTTGGAGCCTTCTTGAGGCTTCGAAAAGGCCATCGGGAACGAGCACAACAAAAAACATTCGATTCGTAAGGTTTTGGACGGGTTTTGGCACTCTTAACGGCCTCCTTGGGGGGTTCCGTGGCCACTTGAGGCCGTCTTGGATCGTTCTTGGGGCCTCATGGAGCATCTGGCGAACCACCACATGAGTGGCGTTCGAGTCTCGGCATAGCCATGGGTTGCCACTGGGTGGACAGCCATTGGGAACCAACGCGTTGTTGAAACAAAGACGTGATGCCCCCCGTCCGCATGGTCCAGATGCTGATGTCTTGGGCGTCAACATTGTTCTGGGCCTGCGCACATCAATCATCATCGTGCGGGCACCACCGCCGCCCCTGCCACAAACAATACTATGTGATTTCGGGAGGCCATCACAATGCCCACGACGTTGTCGCAACGTACACTTTGCATGGTCGTTTGACACGGATGGTGGTCCTACGACGTGCTTACAGGGCGCCAGCGCACTGTCCAGATTTTGCTGCAAGTTGCGCTTCGTATTGCTTTCTGGCAGGGATTGTGGAGGGTGTTGGCAGGGCGGGCCCCGCAATGTGTGTATTTTCGTTGCGAAGGACGGTGGGGGGGTGCCCGCCTGGTTCCGGGCTGGCTGCCGGCCGGGTGGGGGATGGGGGTGTTTGTTTTTTAACGTGTTCGGCCATGGACCCTTCGCTAACCCGAAATATTTGGCTTTCACGCCGATGGCCGCCGAAAACCGCGTCGGGCCGCCGTCCAGACCGCCAATGACCGCCGAAAGACCACCGAAAACCGCCGACGACCGCCGAAAGACCGCCGAGGACCGCCGAACGACCGCCGAAGACTGCCGACAGACCGCCGAAGACTCTGTCGGGCCCCAGCGCCTGTGGCGGGACGCGCGGCCGCTGGCGGTTTTCGGCGGTCTTTGGGCGGTCTTCAGAGGCCAAGATGCGAGGCGAGGGGTCCATGATCGAACGCATCATTACTAATTGGGAGCAGTGATGACCCCCCCCCACCCCACGACAGGGAAGGAGGGGGTTGGAAGAGAAGGGTCCCTGGACCCGCGCCCAGAGTGCTGGTGGGACTGAGAGGGCCCCTCCGTGCAGGCTCTGTGCACTCACGGCGGCTCGAGCGCCCCTCGGGGCACGAGCGCCCCTCGGGGCACAGGGCCCCGCCTGTGGAGCGGCAGCCGCTGACGAGCCGAGGGGGGGGGCGAGGGGCGGGGACGGGCGAGAAGGGCCACCCGTGCAGGCGCTGTTGATTCACAGGCCCCCCTCCCTCCCTCCCTCGCTCCCTCCCTCCCTCCCTCCCCTCCCTCCCTCCTCCCTCCCTCCTCCCTCCTCCTTCCTCCTCCTTCCCTCCTCCCTCCTCTTTCCCTCCTCCCTCCTCCCTCCTCCCTTTTCCTCCTCCTCCTCCTCCTCCTCCTCCTCCTCCTCCTCCTCCTCCTCCTCCTCCTCCTCCTCCTCCTCCCCCGCCGAACTGGAGCAGCAGCCTCGGCGAGTCGAGGACAGGAACGTGGGCGGGGGCGGGCGGAGGTTGGGTGGGGGCGTCTGGGAGGGAGGGAGGGGCGAGGGGCGGGGACGAAGGGGGGGAGGGGGACTGAAGCACGGAAGCGGGACGGGGACGGCGATGAGGGGGGGAGGGTGGACGATGGGATGGGCCCGGGATGGGGGGCGAGGGGGTGGGGGGGCGGGAGCGGGGGCGAGGAGGGGAGGAGGGCGGGAGGAGGCGGGGCTGGGGGAGGCGGGAGCTGGGGGAGGAGGGGACGAGGGGGAGGGCTGGGGGAGGCGGGAGGCGGGGGATCCAGGAGGGTACGAGGGGGCAGGAGGGAGGAATCGTAGAAGAACAACGGTATAAGCATGAACTGTTGGCGCTCCGCGCGGATTTCTTGGAGCGCCAGAAGTTAATGTTTATGGCGTTTGTTTCTTCTTCTATGGATGTGGCTGAAACGAGGAGAGGGTGACGGGGACGGTGTGGAGGGGTAGGGGAGTTGGAGCGATGGGGGGCGGGGCTCTCATGTCCTCCTCCCCAGGGCAGCGGCTGTTACGGGCTGCTTTCGAGTGTCCGCTGTCTCGGGATGACCTGGGGGTCATCGCCTTCGTGAGTGCCTCGTCGCCATCATCCGCCACTGCC